TAATGTGAAAAATTATATTAAATTATATTATTATTGGAAAAATTGATGTTCTAAACAGCGGTTTTTATATGCAATAACAGTTAGCAAATTGTAATGTAAAACTATACAATGTTAACGTTGTGTATAGTCAAGATATCGTGTAATTATAATACCTTGTACTTCTTCCCAGTTTAATCGACCGATTAGAGAACTGTCGATACAAAATCATATGCAAGACAGTTTTCACGAAGTTAAAGCTCACGCAACAAATACGTTATAGCTGGATGAATATTTTACAGAATCAAAAGATCGATCTTTAACTGTCATAGCAAAGTACCCAACAAGCAATTCTTAATTTACATATACCAAATTTTAACATCGAATTTAAATTCAAACATTTACCACGCAATACCATTATTTAAATAACATCTTCCGTTTTTATTCAAAAAAATGTATCCAAAGTATCGATAACTTAGTAAAACAAATTTTCATAATTTTCCAAATACAATTTATTACGGGTGTATCGTAATTGTTATTTAAAAAATTGTTAGATCATTTTTAAGAGAATTATCAAGTCCGTCGATGTAAGTTTTAAGATTAGCATTATAAATTTTATATTTTGTAACATACACTATAATTGCAAGAAACGAAATTTAACGTCTTTTAATAAACAACAAATATTTCAACAACGAATTCTTTGAAATCATCAAAGTTTTGTATTAGTAGCATATATAAATTTCCTTGGTGTTATTAGAGAATAGACAGTAATCAGAGTTAATAATATTCCTGTATATACAAAAATGATCTATCGAATTGTTAACCATTTATCCCGCCAGGGAGATCATCAAATCGTGAAATTGTGTCACGTATGAAACGATGTCCGATCAAGCTACTATGGTTACAGTATGTCAACCTGTAAAAATCGATTTTTAGTATGATGCACCTAGAGAATCTAAAGAACCGGAAAAGTCTATCACTCTATGTCCCTGTGTATACATATACCTACACGGAGGGAAATCTATTTCTATGGCTATAACGATGAAACGTTCTTTTTTAGAATACGATTGAATTATTAAACGAAGATACGGTAGGTCAAGGTAAAAATGCTTTGCAATTTGCTGACAGGTATAAGATCGCATTATGTCGATGGAATTTCGACATGTCAGTTTGTAATCACAGTTTGCCGAGTGCCTTAGCTAATCTAGTTTAGAAACGTTTAGTTTAAGTGATCCAACTATTTCGATCATCGGACGTCGTTTAATCGACACAATTCAAACCTAGTATTATTCTACTTGTAAGAACGAGTAATATTCTATTGCTCTTTCTTTAAACGTTAAAGTAAAACTCGTGTGCTATTACATAGTTCAAAATGTGCAATAAAGAAGAAACGTATATTAAATATCAATTGGTAGTAATGTAAAGAATGTATGCGACACAAATGGCTATTAAATATATTTAAATTTTATCGTACGATCTGTACTTTTTACAAAACGCAATAATTTCAGAAATTTATCGTAAAATCTAAGAGAAACTAAGAGAAAATGGCCAAAAAGGTATAAAGAAAAAGTATATACGTCTATGTTTAAGTTCTTTCGTCTATTCTTTAATATTTCCCACTTTCGAGCTTCCTGATTACTATTGTTCAACAATCTATCTTTATAATTTCTACCAAACGTAACCAACTGATTATTTAACAATAACTATTTTCGTTACAATGGAAACTACGTGACGTTTCCCATTTGCATATCATTACAGAGGGAATGCATATCCATTCATATTGGACAAGCGGGCGTTCAAATGGGTAACGCTTGCTGGGAACTGTATTGCTTAGAACATGGAATTCACCCCGATGGGCAAATGCCTAGTGACACTACCGTGGGTCACGGAGATGATTCCTTCAATACATTTTTTTCTGAGACAGATTCCGGAAAGCATGTTCCAAGAGCAGTTTTCGTTGATCTTGAACCAACGGTAGTAGGCGAGTTACTGTAAAAAAGTTTTCAAGATTCAATTTCACTGATCAATATGTAGTCTTTTTATTTAAACGTTTATTAATAGTATAATAATTGTACAATTTTAGATGAAGTTCGTACAGGTACATACAGACAACTGTTTCATCCGGAACAGTTAATCACAGGAAAAGAGGATGCCGCGAATAATTATGCACGTGGTCATTACACAATAGGTATACGTGTAATTCGCATAATTCCTAAAGTCTATACAAAGAAAATCGAAATGTTTTTACTTTTTAGGAAAAGAAATCGTAGATATTACTTTAGATCGAATCCGCAGACTTACCGAACGATGCAAAGGTTTACAAGGTTTCTTGATTTTCCATTCGTTCGGTGGCGGTACAGGATCGGGATTTTCGAGTTTACTGATGGAAAGATTAACCGCTGAATATCCTAAAAAAAGTAAATTAACTTTTAGCATTTATCCCGCACCTCAGGTAAAAACATTCGATAATTCACGATAATCTTCGTGTATACTATATAAAAATGTATTTAGTGTTAAAAGAAATTATTTATCAGGTATCAACTGCAGTTGTCGAGCCGTATAATGCGATTCTTTATACACATCCAACGTTAGAACATTGCGATGTAGCCTTCATAGTTGACAACCAAGTACACATTGATGTTTAATGATTCTATCCATTACGTCGGTTTATCGATAATTCATTCTATATTTACAGGCTATTTACGAACTGTGCAGAAGGAATTTGAGCATCGATAGACCGACGTACACGAATTTGAATCGTTTAATAGGACAAATTGTCTCCTCGATAACCGCAAGTTTACGATTCGATGGAGCCCTTAACGTTGATCTTACTGAATTTCAAACGAATCTAGTACCTTATCCACGTATTCATTTCCCTCTTGTAAGTTGATAAAAAGGTGATACTACTAACATTTACGTTACGTATATATATGATGATTTTGTAGCGTTTTATTGTGTTTAAGCGTGGCAAAAATATTTCTAATATTTTAAGAATAAATAATTCAAATTCTCTGTAGGCAACTTACGCCCCTGTTTTATCAGCTGAGAAAGCTGGCCACGAGAGAATTACAGTGGCGGAGATAACGAATTCGTGTTTCGAACCAAATCATCAAATGGTAAATTGTGATCCACGTAGAGGTAAATATATGGCAGTATGTATGCTTTACAGAGGAGATGTTGTTCCTAAAGATGTAAACGCAGCGATTGCAACAATTAAGAAGCAGAAACATATTCAATTTGTCGAATGGTGTCCGACCGGTTTTAAGGTTCGTTTTATAATTATTTAGATAGCGTTTTTCGAAACGAAAAGTATAGTTATATGATCAAAAATTTTAATACTTACGTTTTATACAGGTAGGAATAAATTATCAACCTCCCACTGTGGTACCAGGTGGTGATCTTGCGAAAGTAGAAAGAGCTGTATGTTGCCTTTGTAATACTACTGCAATTGTTGAAGCATGGGCTAGAATTGATCACAAATTCGATCTTATGTATGCTAAAAGGGCGTTTGTTCATTGGTAAATCGATGTATTTTGTTACGTGTTTGTTCGATATATATATGTTCGTATATTATATTATTGTGAACGAAGAAAAATTGTTTTGCGGTAGGTTTGTTGGTGAAGGTATGGAGGAAGGAGAATTTGCAGAAGCCAGAGAAGATTTAGCAGCTTTAGAATTGGATTATCGTGAAGTGCAAGAAGATGCTACTAACACGGAAGATGAAGAAGAGTATTAGTTTTAAGTGTATCGGAAATGTATTATTTATGTCAATTTACTTGTTAAGATATAATAAATAATAATAATTATCATTGCAAATTGTTATGAATATTTATATTACAGTCTTATTCCACTTGTACAATTATACGGAAGTTTATTTTAAATTTAAAAACTAGCAAATACCAACCTACAGCAAATGATATCCCTAGAATTGAATTTAGTACATTTCCTTTGAATAAGGTTTAATTTTTTAAATACTTTTACATAATACATTAATATTCTAATAATCATAAATCTTAGGCTTTACCGTTATTAATGTCACAGTGTAATTATGTGGAAATAATCAACATGTAACTTTATTGAAATGATTACGTAGTTACGCGAAAAACAAAGCAACCAACAACGCTTCACTACTATGTATTTAGTACATAGGAATATCATTTAATTGCATTAATAATTCAATGTACTAGAAGATTGTAATAAAGATAACACTTCTTGCTATAGTATGTAAAACTTGTTAATTAAAGCGGTATTACAATATTAAATCAGCAATATACAATGTGTGTCATAGACTCATATATTCAGCCACTTTTGAACCGTGTATTATTTACTGACAAACTTGGTAAGTTGTAATAGTATGTATCATTATGTATAAAATGTATTGTAATGTGATAATTTGATTGTCATAGTATTATTTTACTTTCTGATTTTTTTCAAGGAATAAGTTGTACAACAATTGAGCTAGATTCTATATCATCCAGTTGTGGAGAAGAAAGGGGAGATCGTTTTAAATTATCTATTCCCTATGCTAGACAAAATTTAACTTGGAATGTGTTTTTTGACTCACAATGTCCTGAAATGGGCCCTGACTTTATATTTAATGACAGTACTTTCTTAACAGATATGGATGTAGATACTCTGTCTGCTAAAGTACCTAGTCTTGCTAAATGGAATCATACTGATGAAAATGCATTATTAAATGTACTTGTGGAACTTTTATCATGTTACAAACAACATCAGGTTTGTAACTTTTTATTTATGAAATATTCAATGCTTAAAATAAATTAAATTTCAAGTATTTTCTTTTGAATTAGATACAGTTACTTGAGAAGCAGATTCGGTTACAGTTTGAATATAATACACTAATGAGACCACCAGAAGTGAACCCAGAAGATGTTGAAATGATATTGTTACCATTTAATTCTAAACCAACAGAGGCTAGATTTTTAATAAGATTATCTGTTGATGTTTCACAGTTGCCCAATCGTACTTGCAAGTCAAAAAATGATACAGCAATGCTCCTTGTAACATTTTCTGGAGCAGATTGGGATCGTATTACACCACAACTTCATTTTTCAAAATCTTTAAAAGAAATTCTTGGTGGGACAGGTGGATTACATTTACCTCACTTTCCACCACGTCAAATTCTTATCAATTATGTGTTAGATATAAAGAAATACATAGCAGAAAGAGTATGTAATTATTTTGGTTAAGTTTCATATTTATAATTCAAAAGCTAATAAAATAAATCTTATTTTAGGTGAATTCCATTGTCCAAAGCTTTGAAAAAAGAAGAGACTATTTAGCAACATTTATAGCTTTAAAACGCGAATCTTGTATAGAATATGATACTCTAAACTATACTTATATATCAAGTTTAGTAAATCTAGACAATTTTCATTTTGTGCTATACATACAAATTCCATCAGGATTTCCTCTGGAACAACCTATAGTTCAGTTTATATCAGTATATCATATTATATCTCGAAATGTTCCTTATACTGAAGTAGTAGAAAACTGTCATTATAATCCCAAATGGACACCGTGCCGTATGATTGAAGAATTATATGCATTCATTCTAAGAAAAGCTGGGATACTTTTTAAATTAAATTCTATTAAGAGTTGTTCTTAATCTATTTTAAAGGCAATTTATCAAATAATGCAATTTCTTACAGTACTTGAAGCATTGACATGAAATTTGTTTTGTGTATACTTATAGAAAATGACCAAAAAATTAATTTGTTAATTTTCATGTAATAATATTATTTTGTATAGTGAATAATAATAAAGAAATTTTTATAGTACATATCTACAAAACGTAATTTTATATTTAAAATAAAAAGTCCTACAAAAATATATTGGTAATGTAAAAGTGCAAAATTTTAAAAACATGAATCCATATTCTATGGTATCATTGGTTCATTTTACGAGATATAAACTACAAAACGATTCCCAGGGATATATTAAAATTAATATAACACGTGTGTTATATTTAAATGAAGTTATATAAAAGCATTACTGAACAAAAATAATTAGTGTTTCAATTTGCTTACATTAATAAAACGAGAAATCAACATACAGTAAGAGGTTATAATATTATTCTTACATTTGTACGTAACAAAATTAATAAATGATACCGCATATCAAGGGTCATATAAAACCCTTTTTATCTAGCTACAAATTTATTTTTTCTTTTGGAAGATCATCATATACCACAATGGTGAAATATTTGAATCAAGAAGAAAGCATTAATATAGACAAAGATTTATTTGACAAATATAAATTCAGCGTGGACCAACTAATGGAACTTGCAGGCCAAAGTTGTGCTATTGCTATTGCCTGCATTTATTCATCATTTAAAAACTCTACACATAAGATTTTAGTTTGTTGTGGTCCAGGAAATAATGGTGGCGATGGACTTGTTTGTGCTAGACATTTAAAACATTTTGGATATTTTCCTGAAATTTACTACCCTAAAAGAACAAGCAATACTTTATATGAAAATTTGTTACATCAATGTATTGAAAATGATATTCCCATATTGGAAAATGATGTAGAAACTATTGCTTCAAACCAACAGTTTGGTCTTATTGTAGATGCATTATTTGGATTTAGTTTTAAACCACCTGTAAGGGAAACATTTATTCCTATAATTCGTTTATTAGAAAACACATGTATTCCTATTTGTAGTGTAGATATACCATCAGGATGGAATGTTGAAAATGGACCACCTGCAGAAGGTGGCATAAAACCAGACATGCTTATATCATTAACAGCACCAAAATTATGTGCTAAAAAGTTTCAAGGAAAGTATCACTACTTAGGTGGTCGATTTGTACCAAAAAAATTGGAGAAAGAGTATAATCTTAATCTTCCTGAATACCCAGGAACCGATTTAATTGTATCGTTATGTTAAGCTTTAATAACTTAATCGTTTATGTTTACTAAGTAATATTTGTACAACTTGTATTACAAATGTATATACAATCATTAAAAATTAAATATTTACAAATGTTTGAAATAATTAAAATATTCGGTTTACATAAACATATTTAATTCCTCGCAAAATACTTTGTATATTTTAACTTTGTAATAGAATAAATTTAAACAGTACGTCATTTTTTTATTTATACTGCAACATATACAGTACATTATTTAAAATTGCTTTTCTTTTGTTGCCAGTAATTTAAACGTACCGCTATATATATACTGCATTACTGTCACGTATCTAGGTGGCGTGTAAAGCCTAACAAACTGCCGTCGATTGTTACTATCTTCAATGTTATTATAAAATATATGAACGATTAACAAGCGGCAGGATCCAAGTGACGTTTTGTCAATATTAAATTAGTTCTAAATTATAATTACATATTTTACAGTTAATATTCTATTACGTAAAATATATAAATTAATAAATTTTAAAAATGGTAGGTTTATGGTTAATTATATTCTTACGGAACAAATTACCTTAGATATCTTGGATTCACGTAATATCTTTTCAAGGCACAAGAGGTGGAAGAAACTATGAAACGTATTCAATCACATAAGGGGGTAGTTGGAACAATTGTAGTTAATGCAGAAGGTATATTACATTTTGACATGGTTTCTTTTTACATAATGCAAAATCATGCAAAATTTAACAAAATTCTATGTAGGTATCCCAATCAAGTCTACATTGGATAATACTACAACAGTTCAATATGCAGGTTTGATAAGTCAATTATCAGATAAAGCAAGATCTGTAGTAAGAGACTTGGACCCAACAAATGATCTTACTTTCCTACGTATTCGCAGTAAGAAACATGAAATTATGGTTGCCCCAGATAAAGAATTTATACTTATAGTAGTGCAGAATCCAGTTGATTGATATTCAAAAGAAAAAATAAGTTATGAGAAAATATACGCTTTGCAAATTATTGGTAAATTACTGTGTGTAGCACATTCCACTTTAATGGCAACTTATATAAAAGAACATTCTTTGATTTTTATTCATAAATTAATTCTAGAGAATGTGCTTTATAATACTATTAAGTATTAAGATTCATATGTAATGCACAGCAAAGTAATTAAGCATAACCATTATTAACATATTTATATAAGTGAAAGTTTTCTGACTAAAATTTTAAGTTATTACAGTTAATACATGTGTTATGTAATTAATACTTCACATTGTTGTTTTAAATAAATTTTAGTTACAATAAAGTGTAATATGATATTTATTCAAGAAATATTTTTAGCACTGCATAATACTGTAGTATTAAGCTGAGTTTAAACATATTTTATATTTATGTAAAATTTCAATTAAGATTTTATATGAAGTGATTCATTATATACAAACATTACTGGAATAATTGATTTTATTTATTACAAAAGTATATACAATATATTAAATCACATATTTTTTGCATATTTA